CATATCGCAGATACGCATCGTTCACAAACTAAGCCCACGACATCCAAAGCTCTAAAATCCAAACTTTCCCCGATCACGGTTAAACCCTAGAATGCCATAGTTATGAAGTATCGGCGAAAACCCACAATACACTTCAATTAGTATTGCCGAATTGTGCGCAATCTCGAGAGATTCCATTGCCACACCTTCTTGAAGTGCATTATGGGCTTCGGTGATGGCTTGTATAATGGCCTGCTGAAATTGATCGAGCTGCATGTGCGCTGGTAATCTGGCCATGACGTCATTGCCTCTGTGCCAAGGAAACGTGACAAAGGGGATTGCATGTGATCATGAATTCCAGTTTTGAAGAAATGTTGGTTGGACGTTTTTGCCAAAGTAGACACGCAATCCGGTTTGGAAGTGCCGCGGACTGAAAAAGAGTGTTCGACCGTCCCTTAGGGAATTTTTTTCAGCTGTTTGCTCTCTTCTTTTTTTAGAGAAGATTCTGTGTTAAATTAAGAAACGACGCAAGACTTAAAAAAAGAACACAAAAATGAAACACGACGTGTTTCTGGATGCATGACCAACTCAAGAAAATTTGTCATGTTGTTGTTGTACTTTTTAAAAATATTTTTATATCCCAATGCAGTACTGGATGTTTCTCATATTTTCGTTTAACTTGACAAAACCGTGCTCATCATTAATTTATTTTTAAATTTCTAGGCTAAAAAAGTATTTTTTTTTCTCTGACAGCGACGAATGATTACAAAGATTAACGAAGTAGAAGGTAACAGTTGCCTGGTACAGTGTTCCAGAAACACTGAGAAGAGAGTTGAAAATACGACGCACAGTGAAGTGTTTTTTACGAACTTCGAGGTGTTTCATCTGGTGATGAAACACTGTGTCGAGTGCTTGATATTACTTCTCAAACAATTTAGGGATGCAAAAATGAGCAGTTTTTCATCTGATTTCCACACACTCATTGACCATTAATTTCCTTTGTATTTTCTTTATGAATTATTAATGAGTTTGAGAAGTGATAATGAATATCAAATGGCAAGAATTATGCATAAGAGGGGATATGCCTTAGCAGAGCCCAATGGTCCCTGGCGATCAAGTTGCTTTTGCCTTAGGGAGATGTCAAGAAAATCTTAGCTCTTTAAACTCATAATATGGAAACAGTAGTTATATAGGTTTAAGAGCTTTTGGCCTCCATACCATTTTCCTTAAGCAACCGTTGAAGAATTGTAGGCATTAAAAGTACCAAAGTAGAATAGTTACTGTACTCACATCATCATGGTGGTTTTAGGATACACAAATCTACCAATCTGTATCTTGTTACACTCGATCAATGGCACTTTTCTCACCCCATCGAATTTCAAACCACTAAAATTGTACTTAACCAAGCAAAGGGTCTTCTTAGTGATAAGAACAATCCTTTCTTTTTCATGATCCCAGTGGTCAATCCTGCAAATAGTATTTATAATTAGTAACAGTTTGACAGTAATTCACCACTTTAGACATGAAAAGGGGAGTGGAGCAAAAATGTGTCCAGCAATTGTTTCTAGGATTCTTTGATTTTGTTACAAAATACAGGTAGTCATATTGGTGAGTCCTGGGACTCATCTTGTGAAAAGTCACGAGTCCCTCTCCATAACCAATGAGTCCCAGTTCAAACAAACAAGGATTCCTAAATTGAAAATTCTTGGGCCTTTATATAACCAGACAATTAATCTGCAGACAGACGCCAAAACTCTTAATTACAGTTTACTGAAATTAAAATATAGTGCTTCTTTTATTTAAAGCACAAAAAAGACTAAAGTAAATATGCATCTATAAACATCAGCCACAAAAATCACACAAACACGATATTGTATATTCATTCTTTGCGTCCTCCAGGACGCAAGCCATGAATCATTTTGCGTCTAGTTTGGGGATTTTTATGCATCAGAAACGCAGGACGAAGAGGTATAAACATCACTAAGGAAGGTTACTGAGGACGCGCCCGTCGGCCACATGTAGAGGCCATTTTTCCCCTGTCCCTGGTAACATGTCCCAGAAGTCTTTGCAACAGTTGACTTGGCCCAGTCTTCTTCTCATATGCTGTATTATTCTAATAAATGCACCCTCAATCTTTTGTAACCAGTGTACCATAAAAACTGCACACCGTTGAGGGTTAAGGTTGTCATTTCATTTTTCTTTTGCTCAATCAAAACTTAAAACTGTTATTTTACAAGAATGTTCTCTACCCTAGAAACAGCAAACTAGTCTTCTAAAATGTATAACATACTACACACTCTAAAATCATTAACATTGTATAATTTATCTTACAAAAAAGCAAACAAACAAAAGACCCTGAGGGTTGATCCAGCAGGGGTTTGAACCTGCAACCTCCCGCTCAGCAGACCGGCACTCTCCCAAATGAGCTAACCAGGTGGTGGTTACTTTGCAGGGTGTGAAGAAAGTCAGTTTCCAGCCTGCCATTCGTGCAAGCTGTACCTAGTATGTATTAGCCCACAAGTCATTTCAACTAGCCCCAAAATCCTTTTTGATAAGCAGGATTGATTACAATCCTTCTGTAATTTGAATTTCCCCAAAAAGCAGCACTTACCGGTCGGGCAATAAGAACAGAAATCGCTAGATATAGCCTGAGAGCAAAATCCACTAGCCCCGGACTATCGGACACGACTTTCTTTGCACGCTGTCTTGATGCATGATGTGAGGCTGCCACATAAATTGATACCCAGTAACGATATGCGCCAATGTACCGATAACAATAATTCAGCCTTTAATGGACTATGTAAAGAATCCACAGAGCTCCACGATATTTGACCAAATAAAAAAACAAAGGAGCCCAAATCAACATTCTCCAGGTTATTATGATGACAATTAATACTTTGATTTCACTTACTCGCATAACAGCCAAGAGCTCAAGATTTCCCCATCACTTTCATCCAAATACGACTTGCAGTCCTCCACAGCATTGGCAAATGCATCTTTCTGTATAGAAATTCAAGCAATCAAAATTTTGCAATGTTAATTATTAATGATGCACTAAGAGAAAAATGTATGGCAGTTGAACCTCAATAAACAATACCCAGACCTGAAATAACTGATAAATTTGTGGAGTTACGCTGTAATCACACTTCTTTTCTAATCCCAATTTTATTCATTAACAGTTTCGATAATAAGAAATTAGTCAACCTGAACATCTGAAATGTCCCTCCCGTCTTGAGGATTTCCTTGGTCAACATCATGTCTTAATTAAGGCTAGAATCACAGGCAAAACACTGCAAACAACATTGAATGGGGTGCCTCATGTGACGTCTACCAGACTTGCATACATCTCTCCTACCCCTTCCCCCCCCCCCCAACCCCGAGTTAGTTTGCACACAAATTAACTGAATAAATATGTGTTCCAAATTCAACTCCTTTCGAAGTAACCTATGGGCAAAAAATAATGGTCACTAGAGCTTTAACAGTAAAAGGCCATAAATATTAACTGATAAAAATACTGCAACATGGCACTTTTTATTCAGGTCACCATGTTTAGTCCCAAAATCATTCCTTCTCTTGTAATTAAGGTGTGGCACTGTTTCACGTAATAATTATAAAAGTAAATTATAATTATCATAAAAATTATCCCAGAATCCTTTGAGGCAATTTTTTTTGAAAGCTTTATAACTCTCACAATTTTATACGTAGAAGAATGTCAGACCACAAAAAGATAACATTTGCCATAAAATATCTTCTCATGTCACATCTAGGGTGATGACGTCATCAGTCACGTGACCATTGCTGAATTGAATTAGGGATTTTTTGTTGCTGTGATTTCATCATTGGGTAAAGATAAAATAGCATATTAGAGGTTTTGGTTCTGTGGAGCGTTTTAAAATAACCAGTTTACGTCCGGAATTTAAAATTTGAGAGGGCAATGAACATGAGCGAAACTAGGCCGAGGGCTGTAGAGAGTTGACGTTTCAGCACACGGCAGAGAAAATTTGCAGAAAAGTAATATTCTACTTGACAATTTTTTCCTTTACCAAAAGAGCGACATGACGTCATCAGTCACGTGATCAGAGCGTTTTGAATATTTTACTTCACTTTTTAAGGAGCTTTGTCACGAAATTCAGCCAAATTAGAACATTACAAAATGCCCGTTAAATTTGGAGAAACATAAAAATAACCGCTTAAAACTCTAAAGGAAGGTTAAAGTAACATAATAGGAACAACACATGCCACGGATGGACAAAACCGAAGAAGATTGAAACGGATTGAAATTAGGGTTTTTGAAAACTTGAGCCTAACAGTTTTTCAAAGTTGAGACCTGCTGCTTGCAACTTCAAAAATAATGCTCAGGAGACATATTTTTTTGTCTCGGATCTCTGGTTTTGTCATTTACCTGTAATTTCTTTGCTTACTTTAAGTTCCATAGCGATTGAGGGCGAGTAATTGGCAAAATTCAACAAAATGAACTGGACTGCCGTGACACTGCCCCAGTACATTTTTCGCAATAAATCTGCAAGTTTTTGTTGTTTTCCTCAACAATCTTTACACTGTATTACCCTTGAGTAATTACTATTCCATTTTCAAAGCAGAAGCAAATGAAAACTGAGCCAGAAGTTTAAAAGTTGCGTAAATCGACCGATATTGCAAATTAAAATCGAAAAGGAGACCTACTCTTGAGACTTTTCTAAAAAACTTTTTCAACTTAACTGTTTGTTTGCCGAAATAAATGTTCAACGTTTTTCTATCTCCTGTCCAACACAGAGAGTAATCCTAGATTCAACCGCCTGAAACAACAGTTTACAGACCCCATGGTAGAAGTTTACCATTTGTTTTTTCAGGCAGTGTTGCCAACGTTCACCTTTCCAAACAAGTTTCTGCAGAGGGAGGATCCCTGCATTTATGCTGCCCATGGGCAGTTGAATAAATTTGTTCGACGCCTTCTGGGCAAGTTTGTTCAGATTGACAAGATTAAGGCTGCTAAAACTGTTGACAAAGTAAATTTTGAAGAAGAAAGTCAACAACTGAAAGACGGGCAGCTATTTATTGGCTTTGCAACCAGACAACTGCTTAACAAACTTGTCGATAAGGGTTACATAGATGAAAGGAACAGAGATCAGTTTTACCAAGCAGTACACACTTTTATCAACGAGCTGCATTAGAAGCTATTTCAAAGCTTCCTTTGCAAGATGATACACTAATCTATGCTAGATTTGTGGACTTTTTTCAGAGAGAGAATGCCTGTCTTGAAGATGTAAAATTCCTTCTGAAGAATTATCCCACAGTTCTGCGAACTACTGCGAGGGAAACCCACTTGCTTCAAGAAGAGTTTGTGGAGTATCACCGGCTTCTAAGTAATGAAGACATTCCCAAGAAAGTCTGGGATGAAGCCCAAATAAAGCTTTCAAATGAGGAAAATGAAGAGAAATCATTATCCAGTTTTCGCATGGATGTGATCTGGGGATCTCTGACATTATTGAAACTAGGAAATGGTAGCCATAAATTTGGTAGGATAAGTGACGTAGCCAAAACAGTTCTTATTCTACCACCTTCCAATGCAGGCGAAGAAAGAAGTTTTTTCTCTTATTGGAAAAAACAAAACAGCTTTTCGGCCTTCTCTTCAGGTTGACGGTACACTAGCCTCTCTGCTTACAGTCAAAATGGCCAACAAAGAGTCATCATTTGAACCACCTGCAGATCTGTTAAGCAGTGCCAAGAAAGCTAGCTGGAACTATAACAAAGAGTATCCGACTCGGGGATCAGAGTGACAGCATGTAGAACAATCAGTATGATATGTTAATTAAATTTGACTGCATGGATAAGACAGAATGAGAAATGTTAAGAGAGTTGATATTAATCTGATTCAGTGATCACACTGACAGCATGTAGAGCAAACGTTATGACATGTTACTTTGACTTCTAGTTACATGTACTGTAAGTCAGAATTTTAAGAAAGAGTTGATATTGGTCCAATAAAAAGAAAAAACTGGGATCTAAATACTTACTTTTAAAGCATGACATTTCTGCTCAGAATGAAGGAAAACACGTCTTAGCTACTTCCATTTTTCAAAATCTCCGGGGGGAACATGCCCCCAGAGCCCCCTAGCGGGGTGACGCCTGCAGCGTCACAAACAACGGCTGCGCCGTTGCAGATCTCACTGTTTGCCGACAAATCAACTTGAGAGCTCTGATAAAGGAGAACTTTCAAAGCTAAAAGGGTGTATTTGGCGGCCATATTGTTTTTCTTCATTCCGGGGAGAGAGATCATGTAGCAGTTCTTCTAACGCTAAAAGCCAAATGGTTTGCTACCCTAACCTAAAACAATGGAATTAATGATAAACAATGTTGTGTTAATGTTTCCTCCGACCGATGAAAAGACACCTTACGAGCAGAGTCGTACGGTCATACTGTTCAGTCGGTAGCCGCGAGATCGATAGTTCATAAATTTCTCAAACGTTCCCCGGCATGGACCAAGCCTGAGAGAGTATTAATGGGTTTATTGTGAGCTTTACGCCTGGCTTTGATTAGTTAAAGATTTAATTCTACACGAAAACCGAAAAAGTCATCCTTGAAAACTGTCAATCACCATAGAGAAGGAATATATACCTCCTTTAAACCCTTCCTTTTAGCGCTTACCGAGGTTGTCCAGTGGATAGAGATATGCATTTTCAGTTCTAACGAATTCGCAGAATCCGGGTTCGAACCCCCTTGAAGCCAATTTATCGTGACCTTCTTTTGTTTTCTTTTTCTTTTTCACTCTCTTTTTTACCTGTGTGGTGCATATAGCTAATAACATAATGTGGTAAATAATTGAAAGCAAAATTAACAGGAATATAAAAAATGCCATATGTATCATAGCGTATCTATAGAAGAATTCAGCTGAGAAAGATTGTTTACCGGTATTTATAGTAATACTGGACATCTGGACACTGTTACCATTTCCCAGTTCAAACGTCGAATTTCACATGTGCCTAATTTAATTCGAAAAGTAACTGCTTTGAGATGCGACCCTGAATCAACAGTTTCAAATTAAATACGACTTTGCCGCATCTGCGACTGAATTACAGTCGAAAATTCGACTTAGGTTCAACATTTGATTTCGACGTCGCATTTCTCGTGCGCTGAATATAATGCATTAATTATGGCAACCCTTATCCATATTGGGTAACAATTTTTTCTAGAGACTGGGAATATTTACAACAAACGGATGGATTTAAATTCGGCACCATTATATCCGACGTCTGAATCAACTGCCGTATTTAATTATTTAGGTGTTCGACACTCATAAGAAATTCCACGTTTGAAAAGGGCCTAACATGACATAAGTTTCAGGTTAGTGGTTTGCAGGCTGTTCGCTTTTAAGCTAGTTGTTTTTTTTTTCAGTAAGAGCAATTCATATCTTATTGTAAATCCATTTTATTAATCTGCTTGTGCCACGACTTAAGAATCAGCTGTAATAGTTGATTTTGTATGTCACGACACATGATTTGTATATAAAAAAAGAGCGATCAATTTTTATCCACTCATTTCAATAAAAGCCGAATGGCATCACTTGTCACTAAAACGGACAACCTCGAACTGTGACTTCGTCGTATAAATTTGCGTCACCGAAGAAGGACAAAAAAGCTAACCCTTCTTGATCAAATTATTTTAAGGTTTAAACTCGAAGCTCTATATAGTGTAAAATAATTATAATTTACTTTGACCGGTATCACTTTTGATAATAATAATAATAATAATAATAATAATAATAATAATAATAATAATAATAATAATAATAATAATAATAATAATAATAATAATAATAAATGTCTTTATTTCGCCCGTTATAATACATAACAAACGTTACAGAGAGTGAAGTATACAAATCGTGAAAGTCGCACAGATCATTTACAGGAAAGAGAAATCATTCTTTCAAACAGCAAAAGGAAAATCAGCTCGTCATCACTAAGAAACACAACGAGCATAACCAGAAGTTGACCAAAATAGTGGTC